CAGGATATCCAACTTTGGCAATTTGATCTTCAACAAGATTAAATTTGTAGACATCCATGTCGGGATGTTATCAACTTAGGGAAATAATGAAAACTGCACTGATAATTGTTTATTAAAAGTGATTGCACAATTTAAATCAATATTTAAGCAATTATACAAATATTCTGAGCGGTTACTTTCAAAAAAAAAAAAATGTCTTCAAGAAATTCAAGACAAATAGAAACAAAAAATACAACTAAATCCTTGGCTCCGAAAAAATATGTAACTAGAAAAGAAAAAAGAAAAGCAAGATTATTTAATAGATACGTCATAGTTAAACAAATCAAAGATCAAATTAGGCATCTCTCTAAAGAAATCCGTGGCATACCAAGAGAAGATGAATCTATTAAAAGTCGAATTAAATGGTTTACTAGGTTGAAAGAATTTACCGAGACTTCGAGTGCTGATAATCTTTCGTTATTTGAAAATATTTATTTAAATTTCGAAGCTAAAAAAAAAAAAAGTGATGCTGTAATTACAAGGTAATTATTTTTATTATATATAAATAAAACTATTTAACTTTATTAATATTTCTTAAATTTTTTTCCAGTTTATGTCAAGAAACTAACCGACTTCGAGCGGAACTTAGTAAAGCTAAGAATAACCTCGAGCAATTTAGAAAAGAAAATGAAGGGCACTAGCGATATTATAAACAAACTCAACGAATAATATTTTCTGAGTATCTTTCAACAATTGAATATTTACAAAACAGGGTTAATCAACTAGAATTATATTTAGGTATTGGTACAAATAATTATATAGTTACGAATGAGAGTTCAAATGAGAGTTCAAAGTCTGGTGATGAAATGGATGGTACATTTTATTAGACGTCGATATTGGTTTTTATTCACGTAAATTTATTTCATTTTTCACTTTATTTGTGATTCAAATTAATAAAAAATTATAGAATAACAAATAAAATTATTCAAAGACTTTGATATTAATATTATAGTAAAAATTGAAGAAAATTAAATGAAATTATTTAAAGCATAATTATACCTACTTTTCTTATCATATATATCTCTTTCGACTTTAAATTTTTATTCTTTCACTTTATCTAACCTAATAGAATATAGAAAGACTTTCTCATGATTGGCCAATCACATGAAATTGATGGTAACTTATAATTGGCTAATCATTCGGCTCATTTACTGCGACATTTGTTTTATTTTCTGACTCTTCATAATATATTTCATAAATAAATTCATCATCGGTTAGATATTCATTTAACACTTCTTGGGTAGATTCAGTTTTTGAAAAATCGATAATTAAATAGCAAATAAATAAAAAATATTGTAAGACAATATTGAAGAAATCTATTTTGCAACTTACTTTTGAGAAATGCGATTTCGCGTAGCCTAAAGATACTTCTAACGATTTTTAAATAAATTCATCAAAATCTAAACTCTGCATAACTAATTCTCGTGCATAATGATTCAAAAAAAAACTAGAGAAATTTTTTACATTTACTCGAGACCTGATTTTTGCAAATGTGCATTATTGCGCAGCTATTGAGGCTTAGCACGCGTATTGGAACGCGTTTTGTTCTTTGTTTTTCTCACATAATAATGATTCTGTATTTCAAAAAAAAAAAGAAATTTTTTTTACATTTTCCCAATATATCGCGCAGCATTTTCGAAGCTTTGTTCTTTGTATTACAATTCAATATAAATAATATAATAAGTATACCGAATTTATTTTTTTGTATAAAATATTAAAAATACTCTAATTTTAATACTTATATATATTGTGAATCATGACTCAATTGCTGAGTCATAAACGGACTATAATAATGTACTCTAATTAAGTTCAATATCGGTTTAATATAGTTTATTTTAAATAAAATATATAGCATTGTTTAAAATTATAAAAATTAACGATTAAAATAATTGCACATTATATTATAACTAATTTTAAAATATTTGAAAGTTACTTTAGTATATATGATACACGCAAATACACGCAAAATGCTATCGAGCAAGAGAGTATATATATTGCTTTTTTTCTTTTTTTTTGTGAATAAAAAATAATTTATTTTCTTTACTTGAACAAAAATACCTGTAAAAAATAACATTTGACATGTTTGACGTTTAAAGAATAGTTAGAAGTAGAAATATATATTATGTGTGTAAAATATGTGGTTCCTATCTAAAGAACCCATCAAATGAATATATAAATCGCCACACTCATTAACAAAGAGCATATTATCGTGAACTCTTTTATCGCAACCAATATTCACCAAGATAAATAATATCTGGCTCAACAATTAACCCTGGGCAAACAACAACTACCTCATCTTCAAGTAACCATCCACCCGAAGTTACAATAAACTCTGGTTTTCATTTTTTGGCCGCAGTTTCACCTGCGTCGAGAGCTGCAACTTCTATTTCTTCAAATCACTATCAATATCTACCAAAACGAATAGCGGCTGACTCAACAAGTAACCTACTAGAACAAATAACTGAAACAACAAGTAACCAGCCATTACCAGTTGTCAACATAGTGCCAGAGAATCGGGCAGCAAGTGATGAGCCAGTTGAATTCTCAGAACAAAGCACCGAAGAAAGCACCAAAGAAAGTTCTGAAGAGAGTTCAGATGATAGCTACCATGAAGAAGAAGAAAACAGACGTAGAAAAAGAAAAGGGGGAATAATATTCGAAAACTGTACAGTAAATTTCAATTTCAAAAAATTAAAAATAAAATTTTGAATAAGATTTATTTGTATTAGTCGGAAAATAAATGGGTTCGAATAATAAAATTTAAATTATCAATAATATTGATATTGAATTATATTACATAGTATTGTATAATTCATTTTTATGTTTTCAAAGATATTGTATGCAAAAAAGAATTTGTCACATTTTAGAAATAGATAGATATTATAATTAATAAATCCAAGCTTGATTAAAAATCCAATATACGAATAAATTATTACATGTTGAAAAATAATTAAAATATCATCAAAACTTTTGACATTCACAAATCAATTCAATAAAAATACCATTATTATAAAGTTTAATTATAATAAAGAAATCAAGGCATAATATATGATAAATCTAAAAAGAAATTAATATTAAAGTAATTAACAATATCAAAAGACCTGTAATTTTTGAGTATGGTGAATAAACCCGAATTTGGATGATTGACATTGTGGCTTAGCCAATTTAATAAAAAATTTTTTTGATTTTTTATACAGTTTAAAGTACTTCGTATTCTCATGATTTTTCGAAACTTACCAATTAAGTTCACTCCAAAAAAAGAGCTAGCGAAAGTTCTTTGCCTGCCTCGTTTTACTTTAAAATTAA